GTGGTGCCTCGATGCGCACCCGGGATCCGAACCCGGGCCACCAGCATTGCAGCGCGCGCACTTAACCACCAAGCCACAGGGCCGGCCCAGCCTTTAATATGTTAATGAGCCTCATGACTCTCCTAAAGAAGGCTGTCATATCCAATGTCTCTCAAACTTATTTGGCCATGGAACCCTTTTCTTGTGGTACTTTATTAACATTGCCTAGAACAGTTTAGGAAATGATGGCGCAGTAAAAAAACCAAAAAAACAAAAAACCACCTTCAGAAGACCTTAAACTCAGATCTTCTTAAACACAACTACCTGCACCTGGTGAAGTTATAGTTCTCTGTATCTTAGTTTCCTAATTCACAAAATGAAATATCAGTCTCTCTCCCCATTTTGAGACTTTTTTTCCAAATTTTCTATCTTCTCTTCCTCTCCTTGTCTCTAAACTTGACTTAAGCCAGTTTAGGAGAACTATAGGACAAGTTAGGCAGCTTGATGGAGAATGGGAAAGTTTGGCAGAAGGGGGCTGTGTTTAGAACATCTTTTCCTCCCCTCAGCAACTTTCCCCTCACTCTTCTCCTTTCCCTTTTTTTTTAAACTATAAGTCCTTCCTCTTCAATCCCAAATTTAACTTCCTCTGAACCCCACCTCTCCTTACCTGTAGCTGAGGGGCAGTGTAAAACCCCGGTTCCTTCCCTGGGACAACCAGATAGTCTTCACACAGTCAATAACCAACTGAGTCAACTGGACATTAGGCTCCTTGTCAGCTGGACACAGGGTCTCTTGGATGAAGGCCTGGGCAGCCTCAAGCCAGGCTTGCTCCTGAGGAAAGTGAATCTAGTTAAAACACCTTCCTGATCATCCTGCCCACCAAGGAAATTTGGGGAAGAATAAAGGAATAGATAACCAATAAAATCAAGAGGGCATGTAAATGAAGATGAAAAGTACAGGAGTTTAGAACTTGAAGAAACTTTAGAAGTCTTAATCCAGCCACACAATCAACTCAGACAACTGGCCTTCCAGCTTCGGTCTTGCTTTTCTCTAACAAACCTGTACCAATCCTTAAAGCACTCAACTGGAATACCTACAGTCTTGTGTTGCTTAATGACAGGATACGTTCTGAGATATGCGCCCTTACGCATTTTTGTCATCGTGCAAACATCATAGAGTGTACTTACACAAACCTAGATAGTATAGCCTACTACACACCTAGGCTGTATGGTACTAACCTTACAGGACCACTGACATATATGTGGTCTGTCATTGACTGAAACGTCCTCATGCAGCGCATAACTGTACTCCTCTGTGAACCTTCTCTGACCATCCCAGGCAGGCTGTTGCTTCCTTGGAGCTCCCACAGCACCTTGCACATACCTCTCTTAAGAGCAATGATTGGGCCGGCCCCGTGGCTTAGCAGTTAAGTGCGTGTGCTCCGCTGCTGGCAGCCCGGGTTCGGACCCCAGCGCGCACCGATGCACCGCTTCTCTGGCCATGCTGAGGCCGTGTCCCACACACAGCAACTAGAAGGATGTGCAGCTATGACATACAACTATCTACTGGGGCTTTGGGGGAAAAAAAATAAATAAAATTATAAAAACAAAAAAAGAGCAATGATTACTAGATATAGTGATTTCCCATCTTATGTGGGGTCTGGTTCTAAACCCAGCAAGTTGAAAAACAAGATTGGTCAAAATCACTCTTGAAAAAATCCTTTAAATTGCTTTTAAGAATAAGACATAGTACTGTATAGTAATATGTATGTGGAAAGCTAAATGTGCCTAATAATGGACAGTACATATAAAGAATATAGGCACAGCATAATTTTTAATCATTCCCTTTTTTTTTAGTCAAGTATATACATTTGAGCTCTCATAAGCCAAATACATATAAGACACAATCTCTTTGGATTTGTTTCCTGTTTCATCTTTTCAGCTAAGATGTGGGCTTCCTAAGGAGGACATGAACCATCTTTGTATGCTTGCCACAGATTCTGGACACACAGTTGCCTCTATATATACATAACTCTAGGGAAGGGGGTCAGCTTGGCCTATTCCCAGTGCTAGGCAGCTTTACTTTAAAATTCCAACAGAGTTCAACAATACTTAGGGGTAGGACCTTTATCTTTCTTGATCCCCAGTGATAATTCTAAACCATTACACTCGATCCCTTTTCCTCCAGTGCTCCTCTATTAGCCTTCCGGTCAATCCTCCACATTCAGCTCATCTTCAGCAGCTTGAAAACAGCTTGATAAACCAGTCTTCAAGTTCTAGATGACTTCATTGTCCTTGTGGAAAGCCCTACCACTGACCTTCCCCTTCATCCCACCTCAGCCAAACACTCTCATTCATGGTGAGGGTTGTCAAAACAGGACCAAGTCATCATTCAGAAGTGCCCACCAGGAATGCAAACTGGCACAGCCTCTATGGAAAACAGTATGGAGAGTCCTCAAAAAATTAAAAATAGAAATACCTTATGATCCAGCTACTCCACTACTGGGCATCTACCCAACGAACCTGAAATTAACAATCCAAAGAGGCTTACGCACCCCTATATTCATTGCAGCATTATTCACTATAGCCAAGACATGGAAGCAACCCAAGTGTCCCTCCACTGATGACTGGATAAAGAAGATGTGGTATATATATACCACGGAATACTACTCAGCCATAAAAAAGACAAAATCATCCCATTTGCAACAACATGGATGGACCTGGAGGGTATTATGTTAAGCAAAATAAGCCAAAAAGAGAAAGACAAACACCAGATGATTTCACTCATAAGTGGAAGATAAACCAACACACAGACAGAGAGAACTGTTTGGTGGTTACCAGGGGCAAGGGGGGGTGGGGGGTAGGCACAAGAGGTGAAGGGATGCATTTATATGGTGACTGACAAACAACAATGTACAACAAAAATTTCATAATAAAGGAAAAGAAAAGAGAAAAAAAAGAACTGCCCACCAACATAACCAAAGCCCAGACTCGCACACTTTCTGTTAGCTCCTATTCCTCCAAGAGCCGGTCCATTGCTTGGTACATTGAATACTACTGTTTCTCACAGTGGAACTGCAGTGAGCCATAAACACGTCTCCATCCACTCCCTCCACCACAGTGGTACCACTGTCAGAAATCACCAAAGTTTTATTAAAAATGCAGGTGATTTTTAGGTGATTTCATCTACTGAATCAGAATCCTGGAGGAGAGGGGGAGGGCCAGAGTCTGTAACTTAAGGTCCCCAGATTAATATTGATATAGGCTGAAGTTTGAGGACACTATACACTTTCCTCTTAATAACCTCATCCACTGGATAGCTTTTTTTTAATTCTTTTTTTTTTTTTTGAGGAAGATTGGCCGTCTGCTAACATCTGTTGCCAATCTTCCTCTTTTTCTTTTTTCTCCCCAAAGCCTCAGTACACACAGTTGTAGGGTTGTAGCTCTTCTATGTGGGACAGCCGCCTCAGCATGGCTTGATGAGCAGTCAGTAGGTCTGCGCCCAGGATCTGAACCCGCGAACCCCAGGCCGAACCCCAGGCTGCTGGGCCGGCAGGCCGCAGAAGCGGAACGCGCTAACTTAACCCCTAGGCCACCAGGCCGGCCCCTCACTGGGTAGCTTTAACAGCCATCAATAGATGCTGATTGTTCCTAAATCTCTAGCTGAGATCCCTCCCCTGAACTCTAGTTATATCCATTTTTCTACCGGATTCTCCACCTGGCCAACCTACAGGCACCATGCATGGCCAACACTGAACTTTTCAATTGGTACTTTCTAGTCCACTCGCTACACTGCTACTTCAGGAAACGCAAACTCAGATCTCATCCAATCACTCTTCTGCTTAAAACTCTTCAGTAACTCCCAATTACTCTCAAAAACTAGAGTTTTTCAAAGACACCTGCTCTATCTCGTCTTTGAACATGTTTTTGACTCCGCCTTAAACCTGTTTCAGCGCTTTTTTGCCTGGCTGACTCCTACACGCACTTCTGGTCTCAGAAGCTTTTCCCGATTATCAGTTACCCCTTTCCCCTACAGCTGCGTCAGGGGTCTCCCCCAGGAACCCACAGCCCCACAGTTCGCCATGAGTCTGCTCCTGGCTTCCCACCGGGCTGGAAGCCTCGAGAGGGGACGCAGACGTGTTCACGGCTCACCGCCGGCGCCGCAGAACGGAAGGAACAAATATATCGGCAGAACCGGTGAGAGGGGTAGGTCGAACAGCCTCCCAGGCCCCCCCGCCCAGGCGCGGCCAGCCAAGACAGGGAGGCAAAGAGGCAAGGTGGAGGAAACAGGAGAAGAGAGAAAAATCCAGAACAGACATGAGAAAAGGGCCAAGGGAGGGAGAACCCCACTCACGGAGCCAGGAGCCTGAGCACTACACGCCGCCATACTGCGCCCGAGGCTCCGCTCCTGCGAAGCGCGCGAACGGCGGGCGGCGCGGGTACTCGCGCGAGGGACGCTCGGTGACGTCAGCGGTGGGCTCGTCTCCGGCTCCACCTCCGGCTCCTCCCCGGCTCCTCCCCGGCTCCACCTCCGGCTCCACCTCCGGCTCCTCCCCACCCCGCAGGCTTAGGACCTCTTTACTCCGCTCCCACCTCGGCCCCTCTCTGCGGCACCCCGGTCTCCCTTCCGCAGTGGCATCCTGTCTGGCATCCCTGCGATGGGGCGGGGGAGCTCAGGAGCTCGTCACAGCAGGCCTGGCTGGTAACTCCTAAGCATCTTTTCGATTTCCCTGATCTTGCCAAGGAGGGAGAAGTGTTTCCTCCTTAATGCAGCCAGAGCACATCATTCATACTTGTGTTATGGCCTTAACTTATTGCTAAAATTATTTAACTGTTTCTCCCACTTGGCTGTGAGTACCCAGAAGCCATATCCTATTTATCTTTGTATTCTGGTATCTAGAACAGTGTTTCTTGCTAAATAAGTTGGTAAATATTTGTGGATCAACTAATGAAAGCCTGTGCTCTCCCTAATTCAGTCAACCAGCCAATCACTCTACAGCTTAGTAAGCAGTGAACAGAATTCATGCAACTATGTACCAGGCACTGTTCTAGGCTCTGACGATACGGATGCGAACAAAACATATAAAAATCCCTGCTCTCGTGGAGTTTACATTCTAGGACGAGGAAACTGACAGTAAAAAATAAAAAAGGTAAAATGTGGAGAACATTAGTAAAAGGTGCTGTAGAAATGTTACCGAACCAAGTGGGCTTGCCTCTTGGTGAGTTAAATAAGACTCTACACCAGTGGAAGTTGTCTCACAAAGTAAAGTGTATTTGCAGCAAATAGGAGGCCATGAGGAAAGATTTCCAAAGTCACGGTGTCCCCGAACAAAGGCAAGGAGGAACTTTTATTTGGTTGGGGAATGAATGTTCAAAAGGGAGAGGCGCAGGGGCCGGCCTGGTGGCGCAAGCGGTTAATTGCGCATGCTCCGCTGCAGCGCCTGGGGTTCGCCGGTTCGGATCCTGGGTGCGCACAGACACACTGCTTGTCAAGCCACGCTGTGGCGGCGTCCCATATGAAGTGGAGGAAGATGGGCACGGATGTTAGCTCAGGGCCAAGCTTCCTCAGAAAAAAAGAGGAGGATTGGCGTCAGATGTTAGCTCAGGGCTGATCTTCCTCACACACACACACAAAAAAACTACAAAAGGGAGAGGCGGGTACACTGCAGATTATGGTAATGAGGCTTAATCTCCTCTTGAAGAGATCTTCGCATCAAGGTCCTGGGCGCAGCTCTTGTAGGGAGGCTTGGTTAGCTTCAGGGTACCTACTGGTTGTCTCCTTAACATAACAGGTAAATGCTTCCAAACCCACCCTTGAGTTCCTCGGGGCACTAGTCAGTGACAGATGGAGAAATAGGGAATGCAGAGGGTGGTCTGTCCCCTTTATATAGAGAAGGCCTTACTGAAAAGGTGACTTTATAGTAAAAAATTGAAAGAGATGAAGGATTCAACTGATGGGGATCAAAGAGAAAGAATGGACAGGGGGAACAATAAGCACAAAGGCCCTGTGGTGGAAAGAAACGCAAGGAAGTCAGTGAGGCTGGAGGGGAGGAGAGATTAAAAAAGTAAAGTGAAAGAGGGGCATTTAAAGCTATTGTAGGGGCCCCGTGGCTTAGCGGTTAAGTGCGCGCGCTCCGCTGCTGGTGGCCCAGTTCGGACCCCGGGCGCACACCGACGCACCGCTTCTCTGGCCATGCTGAGGCCGTGTCCCACATACAGCAACCAGAAGGATGTGCAACTATGACATACAACTATCTACTGGGGCTTTGGGGGAAAAATAAATAAATAAATAAAATTAAATAAATAAATAAATAAAT